GATACGTCCCGGGGTTGCCTTGGCTATGGAAGACTATAGTCTTCCCTCTGGACCAGGTTCCAGTGGGTAGCTGTCCTGGATAAGTTACTCACAGTCACCCACACTAGGAAGATGACTGGCTGTGTGAACGTCCGTCATCTCAGTTCTAGTTCTGGTTGAGCAAGTCAGGTTTTGCAGGTCTGGACCTCAGCATAGAGGTCCCATCATCTTTTGATGAAACTTGGCTATAAAACTTTAATTTGAAAGTAAATACAAATGTCTAACTTTTAAAAGTTTGACTTTCTTTTTCTTCATCATCTTTTCTCATCTTCTCTGACAAGACTTTTCCAAACTGAAGCTTAACTCTCTGCGAGTTAGAACACATCATTACTGATTCACCCATGAGAGAAGGGGTGTGGCTGTTAACTTCCATCCAATCAGAGGTCTAAATTCAGTTTAAGGTGGGTCTTGACTTTTAAAGTAGACAGTCTTTGTTTTCATAAAAAAACTTGTTTAATTAAATCTAAAATCCTTGTTTCTGCCTTGAAAGTTTCAAAATCTAAACTTCATGAAAAAAATAAGACCAATTACATTTCCTTAAGAAAGATTACTCAAAACACACTTTTTACAAATAAACCTTCAAGAATTACATCTCTGAATTAATATTAGGGATGGGGCCGATCGGATCAGGTATCGGGTTTCGATACCAGCATAATTTACGTATGGGATTTTTCTGATCCAACCTGCAGAGATTTCAGATCCATGATGCATGTCTGGGTCTGATTAAACTTCTCATGTGATTCCCTGCCAGCTGGCAAGTTGTTTTCAAACTACAGAACGGAGGCGTGTCTCATGGACCCAGAGTAATAAGACCCGCCTCACATTCAGGAAATCCAGTTCATAGTTTGCAGCAGCTACAACGTGAGGACTGAGTTAGCAGCACTGTGGCTAACAGCTAACCAACTTTTCATCTAAACATGTCGCTGTGTGGAAGTATTTTACACTAAACACACAAAACAAGACAGCAACGTGCACTGTCTGCAGAGCCACAGCACCACGTTAAACCACGGTAAAGTTAGTTTTATGAAGGACATTCGAGCTCCGGGGCTTCAACGGTCTGCTCCTCTCACTGAACCCGTAGCAGGCAGCCCGACCCCAGCCAGCCGCGTCCAATCTGCCCCGCTCAGTCTGCCCGTCGCTGCCCCAAATCAGGCTGCCTGCTTTGGATTGAACAAGAAGAAGACGTCGCTGAAACCACGGAGCTCTAATGTTTACAGAGGAGTTGATAAACTTCATCGTAATTAATTACCAACCACTATCAGTTGTAGAAAATGAAGGATTTCACAGTTTGATACTTGCAGCCAAGATCTAGTTTACCCTCCAGGAGATATTTATCAGTACAACAGTAGACAATCATAAAAAACATATGATTTGAAAAATACAAGAAAATTATATATAATAAAACAAAAACAGCTACATTATAAAGTGATGTAAAATACTAAAAACAGGAACATGTCTGTTGGTTTATGCCATGAACTTAGCAGGTGTTTGAAAACATTTAACATGTAATTTGATTAATTTATTCATTCAATTAAAATAAACAAAATTTAAAAAAAATCATCAAAAAGAAAACATTGAATGAAAAGAGTTCAGAAAGAAGAAAAATAATTATTATATCTGCCCTATACTTAAAAAAATATAAAACAACTTTAAACTATCACTTAAATTAATCACTTTAATATCCACTTTAAAGCTAGAAATAAAAAGAAACATGTTTTAAAGTTAGAATTTAATTCTAACTTTAAAACTTATCCAACATTAATAAAACTTACTTCAAGTTGCCTTTTTGGACATGCATGCATATATTTGTACAAATTGTGGCAGGTTTAATCACAGTTTAATCCAGGATAATCACAGTTTAATCCAGGATAATC